CTCTTTGCTCTGGTTTTTAGTCACTTAGGAGGTGGGCATTTACAACCATGGGAGACAATATGTCAGACTCAGACACACTAGACCATGATTCAGAGCGGGAGTACGTATTGATGTCTTGATCACTATTTGCAACAACCACTGACCAAAACCAAGAGAGACAGAGAGCTTTGACACTGAACCTCATCTGAATCTGTACAGACATGGTCGGCGCTACTCTTTGACGCGTTTGGAGCAGCACCCGTGGCCGATTGATGAGGTGAGCCCCTTGCCTGCATTGGGATGCGGCAGCTAATGAGTCGAAGACAGAGAAAGACAGATTAGGTATGGGTGTCTACCTGAGACTTTATAGCTTTCTTGACTAATAACTGGAGTAGAGGAACAACACGTTTTGCTGCGTGAGCTTTTCGAGGGCAGATTATACCTCGCCCCTATAGAAAGTCCGCGAAACGTTCTTGATATCCGCACCGGCACTGGCTGCTGGGCTATGGAATGTGGTATTTCCAAGCCGTACCTCCCAATGTTCTCCATTCAATTACTAAAATATCATACAGCAGAAAGATATCCTTCGTCGGCTGTAAGTCTGGCTATGGTCTGCGTTGAAGAAGAGAAACTGACCAGTTAGGTTCGCGGCATTGATTTAGTAAATATGCAAGATGAATGGTATGTCTTGCTTGCGAGGCTTGGCGCATCCTACTAATGATATAGGGTACCTCCGAACTGCGAGTTTTGGGTCGACAATCTCTGTCAACCAGGCTGGCATACCCAATACACAAATATTGACTTTGTTCATATCAATCAAATCCAGGGTGATCGCCAGCTTTTGTCGCTCCTGCTGGAAGGTTCAAATAGGTAATCTCTTTATTAGAAGTGATTTTCAACCGCCAGACTAACTCATGAAATTAGTTGCTGCGCTCCGGGCGGATGGGTAGAGATATGTGATATGACAGTGCAACTAGATAACCCTGGTGAAGATAGCCCATTTCACAAATACATCCAGGAGATGACTACAGCACACGCCAGAGATGGTCGCCAGATGGATCTCCCCCTTCACTTCGGAGCGGAACTCACTCGGCATGGATTTATTAACGTCACTGAACGTAGTTATGACCTACCTTTATGCACTGAGGGCCGCGACAAACTGAAGAAAAGAATCATACAAAACTGGACGGCAGGGCTAGAAGGTTACAGCTTCACCCTACTGGAGAAGCATCTTGGGAAGAACTTTACGGAAACTGTGCTAATGTGCGCTTCTGCGCGTCGGGCGCTACAAGGCAAGATTGAGGGATATTTGCAAATGTCGGTGAGCTTCCTCCGTACTTGCTGGCATGTATCTAATACTTCGCAGACGGGTTGTGTACGGACAGAAACCGGGTTAGCTGCCTTTAATGACCAATAATACAATGGGATCCCTGCATTCATGGAAGATTGACTATGTAGTCCACTATACCCTAGCCGCGACACTCGCGCTTATCTATAAAATGTACAACTGCAACCGGTTCAAGGAAGCTTGCTCTTCCCGCGTCGGGCATCTGCTATCTCAGGAACTATATCGCTTAAGTAATTCTCGGCATATCTCCCGTGATGTGTCACAGTAAAGTTCCATCACCAGCGCATGTGCCACAACAAACTCTCACAAATGCATACGGATGAGTCTCTTCAACCGGACTTCTTAACCGAAAAACAAGATTTTCTTACTACTTAGCTAGTACTAGTTGACTTTTTATCCATGTAGTGGTTTGGGGCTCATGGCGGTGATATATTATGAGATCAGCACCACAGATAACCTTATGACTTTGTAAGGCAGATATCCCTAGTCTTATTTTAAGGAAAATTACGAGTCGTATCCACGCTAACAATGTTATGCCCAAAGTGATCCCTATCTAATCTTTCGGCGCCCAAAACGTCGGCTGTGCAGTCAGGATCGGAGAGACTAGGAGAAAGCTCGACCTGGCCTGTGTCTGAAGTTACTATTACTATCTGTTCTCCGGAAGAACTTTTCTTGGTAACATACAGGCGACGTTATCAACATCCAAAAGAAGCTTTTAATTTTGAAATATTGATAATCACTCCCAACGAAAACACTATCAAATTGTGATTGCCATGTTATAGGGTTGAATAATCTCGAAATGCCTCCATCAGCGCGCTTATTTTACCTCACGGGAGCAGCAACCCCTTGTAAAATTGCAATAAACTGGGATAGAATGGAGCAAAGAAAGTGAAGTTAATAAGAGCGCTAAAGTGGGTATCTTTCATGGACATGGATTTAAAGACCGAGGTTCCGGAGAATATAAGGTAGAGCGTCTATTCCCAGCAGCGGATCGACTCCGTCCCAAATACGGATGCGCTCCGCTCCTTCACACTAACCTATGAACATACAAGTCACTACTATATCTACAACATTATCACCGGCATCCACATATACACCACCTCAATCAATCAATATCCTTCACAAGATTATCCCCATTAACTCCATCATGACTCTATCCACACTCCATCTCACCACAACCACCATAACAACACCCCCAACCTGGACCACCCTCCCCCAAACCCTCCGCCAAACACCCCTCAATCGATCAACCTAAAGCGCGGCAATCCACTCGACTCCTTTCTCGAACGCCTCAACTACATTCAATCCCTAAATCTCCTCTTCCTAACTGAACATTCCGTACGGGCAGATCTTCACCCTCAACCCCACCACCACGCAACGGTACAGTCTGGCGTGGTGTCCGCACAGGGCATCGGCTCGCTGCCGCATTCGACGGAGCTACTCCGTAGACTTCGGCTATGATGCTTTGCCGAATGCCATCATCATCATCCTTATAAATCCCACCCCAGAACAGCGTCAACGCGAGAAAACACTTATCCGAATTAGTTTCAAAGAATATTGTAACGAATCATGACCGGAAGAATGGAGGCAACAGAGCCTGAAAACCAGGATTACAACCTCCAGCAACCAATCACCACCACTACAGGTTTGCGACAAGGACTGACATCATATGGAGATGCCCATTTCTCTCTTTTCCTGCGCAAAGTGTTCATCAAAGCACTCGGGTACTCAGAGGATGCGCTGTCACGGCCTATTATTGGCATAATCAACACCGGCTCTGGCTTCAACCCCTGCCATGGCAACACTCCGCAGTTGATCGAAGCCGCCAAGCGAGGCATCCATCTTAACGGTGGTATTGCCATCGACTTCCCGACCATTAGTCTACACGAGGGATTTTCGCATCCGACTAGTATGTTCCTTCGCAATTTGATGAGTATGGATACGGAGGAAATGATCCGTGCTCAGCCGGTCGATGCTTGTATTATGATTGGAGGTATTTCATCTATTCCTCATGAGTCGAATGACGCTAAAAACTGCAGGTTGTGACAAGACGGTCCCAGCCCAGATTATGGGAGGGATTTCGGCAAACAAGCCCGTTTTGCCGTTGTTGACTGGGCCAATGATGCCTGGAAGTCACAGAGGGAAGCGAATTGGAGCCTGTACCGATTGCAGAAACAATTGGGCTTCGTTTCGCGCGGGGGCTATAGACGTCGAAGAGATTACCTCCATTAATGAGGAACTCGCGCCAACGGTTCGCTTCAACCTGCCTTCTCCACATAGATCACAGCTAATTGTTCATAGATCGGAACGTGTGGTGTCATGGGCACAGCAAGCACAATGGCGTGTATCACCGCCGCATTAGGACTGACCCCTTTGCAGGGCGCTTCAGCACCCGCTGTATCGGCTGCAAGACTGCGTATAGCGGAACAGACAGGTGCCAATGCAGTTGCCGCTGCAAAAGAGAAGAGAACGCCACAACAGATTCTGTCGGCCGACTCATTCTACAATGCCGCTGTTGTTCTCCAAGCCATTGGTGGCTCCACAAATGCCATGGTTCATTTGATGGCCATTATCAACCGACACCCTGATCTCATCGGCACCCTCAACCTCAACACAATCGATGAAATCGGCCGGACCACCCCTCTCCTGGTGGACCTAAAGCCCAGCGGAGACAACTATATGACCGACTTCCATAACGCCGGAGGTATGCTATGTCTTCTGCATCGTCTGCGACCTTTACTTCGTGAAACCGCGATGACCATTACGGGCGAGACGCTAGGAGACATACTAAACCGAACACCGTTCCGGGACTTCGAGTACTCGCGCAAGATCATCCGAACACTCTCCGATCCGCTCTGTCCGTCATCCTCTTTAGTTGTTGTAGCGGGCAATATAGCCCCCAACGGGGCCGTCATCAAGGCATCCGCTTCCAAAGATAAACGACTCCTGCGGCATAGAGGTCCTGCAGTGGTGTTTGAGAATCCTCAGGATCTGGCTAAGAGGTTAGACGATCCTGAGCTTGAGGTGACCGCGGATTCTGTGCTCTTTCTGCGAGGCATCGGACCGATTGGAAACCCCGGGATGCCTGAGGCGGGTATGATTCCGATTCCGCGTAAATTGGCAGCCCATGGAGTGTCGGATATGTTGAGAATATCAGATGGGAGAATGTCTGGTACGGCTGGAGGGACAATTATTCTGCACATCTCTCCCGAGTCTGCAGTACCAGAGTCGCCGTTCGGTGTTATTAACACGGGCGACATGATTGTCTGTGATGTGGAGGCTAGGTTGCTGCAGCTGGATATTAGTGAGGAGGAACTCCAGGAAAGAGTTAGACAGCGCAAGCAAGAGCTGATGGAGTCGGAGGAGTCGGCGTGGAGGAAGAGACAGCATACAAGGGGATACAGGGGGCTTTATGAGCGGGAGGTCAACCAGGCGCATCTGGGAGCTGATTTTGGGTTCCTGACTGCAAATGGGCCAGCCAGTGAGTAGATGGAATACGACCGACAAATTCCGATCCAGATAGTTATGTATTTTGTGTGTCATTGAATGAAGAGAGATTCACATGTGAAGCAACGATCCAATCTCCCAATTTCCTGGGTCGTAAGACGTTAAACACAGTCAATCCAGGCGAACCGCCCTTCAATATCTCCGGTCTCTTAAGTAGAAAACAAACTCAAGGGGCCACTCGTGCAACAGACGTCAAAAGCTCCTCCATACCCTCCTCAACCCCAGACCGTTTCCTAATAAGCAACCGCGTAGCAGGATCAGGATACATATCCGAGTCAATAGTGAAGTTCCTAGGCCTACCGCACCCATCAGTAAACCTCATATCGTAGCATATGAGCATATGCGCCAGCATCATCTTCATTTCATTAGCAGCATAGAATCGGCCAGGACATGCAAACTTCCCGTGGCCAAATGCCAGATTGTTATAGTCGGTCATGACGAAGAGGTGTCGTTGGGCATTCCCAGGTTGCTCGCGCAGCCGTGAGTAGCGGAAGGCGTCGAAGGAAGTTGGCGCATCGCCTGGCACTCTAGAGGGATCGTTCAACATGGCGTTGGATGGGACCGCGATGCGGGAGCCGACTGGGACGGAGATTCCGTTGGAGAGGGTTATTGATTTGGGGAGAATTCGGTTAAAGGTCACTGAAATTGTTAGTCATGGGCTTGGAATAGGGAGGGCGGTTGTAACATACGCAGGAAAATGGGATTAAAACGCTGCGACTCTTTCAGTAAACTATCCATCTTGCGCAAGTGATTGACCGTCAACTTGCCCCAGCCGCCTTCGGCACGTAGCACATCTACCACCTCAACTCGAAGGGGGTCCAAATATTCTGGGTGCGCACAGAGATCGTAGATAGCTTGAGTCATGGTTAATGTTGTGGTGTGGATGGATGTCACGCTTAGAATCAACATTCGCTGGGCCAAGTCTTCAGGCTCTGCTTCCTGGCCCGTGGCTGCATCCATCATCCATTGCAAGATGTCTGCAGGCTTCGTGTAGTCTGATGGCTTTGCAGCCTCGATTTCTCTACGTTCGCGTACTATCTCGCCGACTATGCGACGAGATGTCGCCACATTCTGCCATAGATGGTGGTAGGACGGTAGCAGTGGTGCGACAAGAGGCCTGAGAAAGCGGGGGAAGAAGCGCAGTGCCATGCCCGTGAGGAAGAGATTCTTGGTGTATTCCACGGTGGCTCTAAGCCACTCTTCATTACGGCCCTCTTTGGGTCCGAGGAAGATGCGGGAAGTGATGCGAGTGATTATGCGCGAGAGAATTGGCATGATATCGATCGTAGTCCATTCGTCTTTTGGTATCAGTTACCAGACTGTTTGTGGTCTGAAACGACAGGATCACAAACCAGCACACTTGGGCATCTCCATTTGCATGGCTAATTCTAGCTCCTCAATCATGACTGGGACCAATGAGGGTAGGTTTGGAGTAAGCTTCTGTTGAAGGACTCGGTTTTGCAGATCACTTCGCAAGAATGGCATGCCATGCGTATATTCACCAGGGTAGTCCTGGACCAGAGGAGGCACAGACCCCGTAGCATCGCGGGTCAAGGTACGAATCTCATCCATGTATTTGCTGGAGACGAGCAGAACATCGGTCCCGACTCGCCGCACTTTGAACATGGTGTCTTTGAACTGAATGGGAGGTCAATGGCCATTGTCTGAACGAAAGGACTGTGATTGCTAACTTGCTCATATCCCTCTCCAATGATCCTTCTGCTGCCCCGGATAAATCGAAGCCGCACCAACCAGGTAGGTTCCCAAAAGCTTCGATATCCGACAATAGGTGGTTGGCTAGTGGGACTCTGCTTTTTCGATGCAGGGATTGCCAAGTACCAGAGCGAATAAACGCCCAGAATAACCCCCACTAATACTGGCGACAGACCAATCGCGGCTATCGAGTGAAGATCGGAGAAGTAATCTGATGGAGTTACCGCCTTGTTCATATTGGTTCAGTTGTGGCTGTTATCCGAGTGCTTGTTAGATACAGAAGGGACTGGCGAAGGATTCGAGCATTTATATACTGACATGCAACAAAGAAGGCGATAGCTATCGAACAAACTTCCAGCTGAACAGTGGAGTGGTTCGGTGTAATGAACATGTGTTCTTCAGCTCTCTAAACCCTGTTTTGCCCTATTCCAAGGCAGTGGGGCCGTTTTAGCTTGGCGGCAAGATACATCGAACAATATCTGTGCGGTGAAGGGCCAACTATGCAGATTGCAGAAACTGTTTAGCTGCCACCTACGCCTCATACGCAATGCCAGCTGGCTATGTCCTTTCGTGACAAACTCTAATTGAGCCCTTGCAGGACCTGCAGTCTGTGTCACCGCGCTTAATTGGGACATAGTCTTGCCATTCATGGCACCTGGAGCTGAAACTTTTCACTTGGAAGCCAATTGGCACACAAAAGGAGCATTGTTCTCTTCTATTCAGGCTCTATGCCCCGTTTCTATGCTTGAAGGGGACACTGCATGCAACCTCGTTGCCTGTCATAACTGGAGGCAGTTTATCCCGACGGGAAAAGTGACGATCAATCATTGCCTATCAAGCTGAGACTTGCAAATGCTGCTAAACAAGGTTCATGGCCTTGGAAATACCGCTACAGCTGTGGTGAAGAAGAAAGGATGGTTACGTACTGGCTTTGTAGACGGCCATCATCATTTTCGCTATGATATGCTATGATATAAAAAGGGGTCCTCAGTATCCCATAAGGTCTTGGACATTATCTTGCCCCCTCTCCTACCAATCATATCATTATATCTCTTATTCATATTGATTATACACTATGGGGAACATAATTGGCAAGCCAGTTCCCAAGATTCACCTTTCATTCTATCTCTCATGGGTCAACATATGGCTTTCTCTGCCTGATCCCGCCCCCGGCCAAGACACTACCGACCTCACCCCTACTGAACAAGTTAAAGTGTTCCTCCAGGAGTCTTCTTCTCCTCTTCCAAGCTACAGCGCTCTCAAAAGGGTGGCTTCGTCATTTCGCCGATCCCTGGACAACGGGCAGATACGCCTTGGTGGCGGCGATGCCCCCAGCTGCAGCGTGACCAACCTCGCGTCCGCAGATTACGATCCAAACTCAAATTGCACCTGCAACGGCCTTTATCCAGTTCCAGCTGATGCAGACATAGCCTGCATTGTCGAACGCGCCGATTGCACCGCCATCCGCAATACGCACCAGGCACTTCAGACCGTTCTCAAGCGAAAGTCCGAATGGAATACGACATCCCTCTTCTCGCCGAGAAACCTTATCGAAGCGGTAACCGAGCTTCTCTTGGCAAATGTCGATGTGCAAGATCCTCCAACGACATGCCAGGATCCAGCGGAAGTGACCAACCTGCGCAATATACGAGCCCCAGATCGTCGGCCAAGTCCACAAAATGACACCGTTGATGTCATCCACCGGCAACTCTACCCCGCAGCGGAAGACGTCAAATTCTGCACCGATGCCAAGTACTACTTCGTACTCGGCGCCATTCACAGTGATCCCGCACATGATGGGCTGATCCGCGCCATTGCAGACGCAGGTAATGACATCCTGGTCGCGGATTACTGCGAGGTAGCGGATGAAGCAACCCTAAAGGTACTACAGCAGACTGGCGCAGCCGCAGTAGCATTCCTCAAGCTCTGCGTGCTGTCGGGGCTCTTCTCCGAATGGGCCTTTGATAATATGATGGCCTCGATGCTCCATTTTCGGGTGCTTGGATACTACCGTGATCATGCACGGGGCCGCCTACCGGCCGGTGTTTACGGCAGTCGGATGACAAGTCTTACCGCGCACCGGTACGTCGATCTAGGGCTGTTCTTCGCTGTGGCGTCTGCCTCGGTGTGGACGAAGCGGCAAGTCAATGAGACAGAGTACACGTTGTTGAGTATCGCCTGCACGCTAATCAATGACCTGGTGGACCTCCGCAGCGATACCGCGCGGAAGCAGCGGGAGAATGTTGTGTTGCGCGGAGTACGAGGAAATTTGTGCGAGTACTTGGACCGGGTGATGTTCGAGTGTCTCGAGACGGCTACGCTTGCCGTTCAGATGAATCCGACGTACGCGTATGTCTTAATGGCATTTTGTAATTGGGCTGTGATGAGCTCGCATCATAAGGTGTATGAGGTAAGTACGCAGGTCTCTGAAATTGGGAAGCATGATGAATGTTTGTCCCGGTCGAGGGACCATCGACGGGCGTATTGGGGGCTTTTGGAGGCGTTGGCTCCGTATGGGACTTTGGGGAAAGAGGGTCCTAGGGTAGGGCAGACGCGGGCGGAGTTGGATTTCCGATATGGAGTATGTCGGTCTTCGTCTACTTTGCATGCGGCGTGGTTGGCGGATATCACGAGAAGTCTTTTGGAGCCGCGGACTCTAAGGAGGATTGTGGATGTAGTGCATTTTGAGTGGACGGGGTGTGAAGGCGAGGTGGAATATTGTCCATGATAGAGAATATTGCAGTTCGTAGGTTGGTTTTCTGTTGGGTTCCACTTTAATTGTTTCAATCCGTTCTCTCTCTCTCTCATTCTTACCTTGGTACGTTTAATACAATCTACTGGGAATACGCTGGAACACTATAGCTTGAGGGGCCATCATATTGACCATCTATGCGGCGCAGTAATTAAGCTTGGGAGATACAGTTGTCTAGACATCAAAGCTACTCAGCTCTAGTATTCATCCAAATCTTCAAAACAGGAATGAAAAGGAAAGAGCAGAAAGGGATTATTATGAATAATTTTGAGCCATAAAAAGCAAGAAAACGTCGAATGAGGGGGAGAGAGAGAGGTATGTAGGAGAGTAAAGTACGGGGGTAATTAGCAACCGAAATTTATGAACATGTGATGGATCTCGTGGAATTCGACAAGACCAGTTAGCTAGTCAGTTAGCTTATCGAACTGATTAAACTAGCAGACGATAATAGCCCGGCGTCGGAGAGATGTCCGTTGATGGTGGAGCAATTGGATTAGGTCCGTGCATTTTGCGACCGAACATAGGATGGCTGCCAGCAATGCAGCAGGAGCTGTTGTGACTTGTGAAGATATGGAAGTTTATGCTAGAGGCTGCTAGACTACTTAGATAGGTCTGGACCGAGGGCTGATATCTGACATGCTTGCTTATCCCGAGGGAACATCAGCCAACCAATCTTTGGCATCCCGTCAATTTGGCTTTAACCCCAAGCTTCAGGTCTATGCCTGATAAGGAAAAGGTATCATGTCAGGCGTCCCATGTGGCGGCCGCAGGGAAACGAATTGAAATCGTGGTGCCTTCCGGCTGGACGCCGGACGTGTCGAATTTTGCACGAGGAATCGAACAATTAGTGGGAAAATCAGGCATTCCACTTCTCATCAGTCATCACAGATATGAATGGCAACAAACAACAAATCAAAGGGGATAATCAGCCCCTCTCCACTGAAGTTTGGGAGGGGGGGCCAACTTGGGGGCCAAAAGAGTTGACTGGTTCATGGCTGATCCATCCAGCATTCCGATGGCGTTGGTGCCCCCACCCCCTTCCCGGCCATCGGATTTAATTTCTAAATCCCACCATCTCTTGTTATAACAATGGTATAGAGGTGGGTTGTTATGATAGACAGACCCTTAAAACAAAGCGAAAGTAGACCTTGTTTCCTGTTCTTCGACTGAATCCAGTTGGTGAACTTTATTCCCCCTGAAAAGCCCCCAAAGTTGCGCTTTCTGACCACCTGGAAATCTGACAACAGCATCCTTCAGCTCTTCTCAGCATCTCTTGGGGCCGATCCCCATCGGATGAACATCACTCATGCCTTATTAGGCATGGCTGAGCTGCATGTCAGCGGAGTCCCAACACCCAAACCCAATCCTTGAACCCGCTCCAGGCCTGCCAGGCCATCACCATCGCCCGCCTTGCAGCAATGTGCCCCGGTCGCATTCTTTCGTTTCATAATCTCACCCTCGGCCAGCACTCATCCTTCGTCTCGCAGCTTCTCCCTTCCTTTTCCTCTTCTTTTGCTTCCCTCCCCATCGCAGGCTGGTTATTCATGCCTGCTGAAGTATCCATGATATGATGCGACCGCTACTTCTCCCCCTATTGGGGGTATTTCTGCAGACCTCTTCTGCATCCAATCCCTATGTAATGAGCTGGTCCTCGCAGGCCTACGGTCCAGATGGCCCGTGGCAGGCCGTATCCGTCGACGTGGGCAGCAACAAGCAAACGGTCGATCTTTACCCGGGTGCCAATTATGCTAGCACGATCCTGATGAGCACTCTCTGCACGAACAAAACTCTGTCATCCACCTGCTATGCCGCTGAAGCAGGTACCTTCGACCAAAACACCTCCACCACCGCCTACACCACTTCCAGCTCGTGGGAAACAACATACTGGGCTGTGGAGGGCGGAAGCAAAGAAGGTGTGCTCGGCGATGAAGTCACCTTAGGGTCGTTTGTCGTTCCCAATGTGAGCTTTGAAGCCATCTACCAGACCTATCAGACTTATCCCAATGGCATTGCCTATCCCGTCTCGGTTGGCAGTCTGGCCCTGGGGGGTCCGTACCTCTCGGATACTGTCTCCAACTCCACCGTTCTGAACATGATTGCCGGGTGGCTTTACTCGTCCAACGACATCCCTTCCTACTCGTATGGATTGCATATCGGGTCAGTAGACCCAGAGATTGCGGGTTCTCTGGTCCTGGGTGGTTACGATAAGAGCCGTGTGATCGGAGACGTGAGTGCCCAAGGAGTAACGTCTTCGAGTGGACTTTTGGAACTCGAATTGAAGGATATTGGGCTTGGGGTTGCTGCGGGTTCCTCACCCTTCAGCTTCACCAACGAAAGTGGATTGTTTCTTCAGAGCAGTGGCTCCGTCCAGGCCAAGACGGTTCAGATTGATTCGACCAAGCCCTACATGTACCTTCCCCAGGCGACTTGCGATGCCATCACCTCCACCATGCCGATCTCCTTCAACTCTAGCTTGGGACTATATTTTTGGGATACCAGCAGCAGCGATTATTGGAATATCACGTCTTCTGCAGCATACCTCTCCTTCGTCTTCAACAAGAATGGAGTGAACAATCAAAATATTACTATCAAAGTTCCCTTTTCCCAGCTCAATCTTACGCTACAAGAACCGCTGGTCGATCAAAACGTCACCTACTTCCCGTGCTTCCTCACTACCTCCACCCCGGTGCTCGGTCGTGCCTTTCTCCAGTCCGCATTCGTAGGGGTTAACTGGTTCAACGGGAACAACTCTGGCACGTGGTTCCTGGCACAAGCACCCGGCCCGGATTATGCCAGCGCAGACATCACCCGGATCGCAGTGAGTGACACGTCGCTTTCTGCCTCCAATGGTACCTGGGAGGATAGCTGGAATAAGTACTGGGGCATCAAAACGACCGACAATTCGAGTAGCTCTAAGGGTGGCCTGTCTTCCGGGGCCAAGATTGGAATCGGCGTTGGTGTGGGAGTCGGTGGAGCAGTGTTGATCGCAGCGGGTATCGCCATCGCATTTTGGCTTCGCCGTCGTCGCGGAGCGAGTCAAGAGCCAGCAGGAGAGCAGCGAAGGTCAATGTTTAGAGGGTTTGCAGAGTTGCCGGGAGGTGCTCACAGTGAAGCGGCCAAGGAGTTGGATACAAAGATACATAAGCCGCCACAGGAGATAATGGGTTCGCAGGTGGTAGAGCGATACGAACTGGGCTAGTTCTGCTCTTGTTACGTCAAGAGATATCCATAGTATACTACATGATACCATATATGTGCGAATATAATACCTATTTCATTATATCATCATGTATCTTGCATACGTTAGTTATGGTTTGATCGATGGCTTTGCTCTGATAGAACCATTTACTGCAACTTTTAGGTTTAGTCCGGATACATAGTTATTCAAAATGACTCATTTTTTCAAACCAGCAGTAAGCTGACTCAGTGTATTACTCATGAACACCACTTCTTCTCACCTCTTATGTACTGATAAATTGGTAAGTAGGGATTTGATCCTCGGAGATTGTGATTAGCAAAACACGTGGATCTAGACCCGATCGGGCGCGAGCTTGGCATCAACTCTATCAAGATGGCCCCACTCCAAAAGACTGCCTCTTTGGGGTATGACACCAGATGCATCCATGGTTTGATAGAGATGTAACATTGCCAGCACAATATTACAAATCTCAACTCATAGTACCAAGGCCCAACTATATAAGATTGAATAACAGTCCCATTGCACATCATCCTATTCACCTTCCACCCATCTCAAAACCCTCATCCTATACTCAGCAACCACTATACCCTCACATCAAAATGTGCCACGACAACATCTCCCTCAACGGCTGGACCAGCACTCCCGCCAACGCCGGCCTGATCTTTCCCGACAAGCCTTTCATTCACCCACCCACCCCCATCCCCGTCACCGACATCCCCTTCCCATCCACCGATCCCCTCGTCGCCAAGACCCTCGAATCCGTCCAATCCCTCCTCCCCCACAACACCATCAACCACTCTATGCGCGTATACTACTACGGTAAACCCCCATCCCTGTATATTAGCCCCATACCCACCCCTCACTAATAATCATTCTAGGAATGATCCTCCTAAAACAACAATTCCCCAACCACCCCCTCTCCCCCACAACCTGGGCCCTAACCTGCCTCCTGCACGACATCGGCACTGCCCCTACCCTTCTCACCGCAACAAACATGTCCTTCGACCTGTATGGCGGCATTTTAGCCCGCTCTATCTTAACCTCCTTCGACTGTCCCAGTGACATTGCAGATGCCGTAGCAGAAGCTATCATCCGGCATCAGGACTTAGGTGTCGATGGAAATATCACGTTCTTGGGACAGTTGATACAGTTGGCTACGATTTATGATAATGTGGGGGAGCATCCGCAGGTTAAGAACTTTGGAGAGTTGATTCATGAAGATACGAGGAGGGAGATAAATGAGCGCTGGAATAGGGAGGGGTGGTGTGGGGTGTTTGCTGATGTGCTGAGCGTGGAGGTGCGGGAGAAGCCGTGGTGTCATTCGACGCATATTGTCGGGTTTGAGGGGAAGGTTAGGGGTAATAAGCTTTTTGGGGAGTAGAAGGAAGTTTTGGTTTTGAGGGGGTGAGGGGGGGTTGGTTCCACGGCATATTGCGTTCAGTTATGTGGTGATTGTGATATGGAATGCGATTAGGATTTTAATAATGGATTTATTGGTTTTTTCCAAGATTTGCTCTACTTATGTACAAAGAGTGTTCAGATAAAGATCTTGTTGGGGACGTTTTGAACAATGAAGTTGTAGCCCGTTCATCCTCTTTGTGTACCGTGCTGTCAAATCTATGTTGGCTCTATCCTCTATTATTCATTGTTTGGGTTGGAGCAGCCCATATTGGGATTAGGTTGTCTTTTTATCCGTGTATGGTTATCGAAATTGAGAACCTCTCAAGTGGTGGAGAATGTTCTGCACCTGCCGTGGCGCAACCCTTTTCTCGTAGGATTATTCGGACACGCCATGATTAGCTCGCGACTGCCATATAATTGAAAGAGTGTCAATGGATATCATGAGAAACAAAGCAGAGAGGAAACTTTGGTGGCTGAGACCACCGTACTGCTATTATATAGTGACTCTGTCTTCCCACTGTCTTGTCCTCCATTCATTCCACTCACAATAAGCAACAGTCAGCCTTCCTGGCACTCACTGAGCTTAGCAATCAACGTCATTAAACCACATCGGAATCCAACATGGCACAGGGCTCAGGTAGACCGCTTGAAGAGCTGCCCGTCGAGCTCCTTCAAGCGATCCTCGCTGCCGCGCCAGACATCAAAACCCTGAAGGCCGCCGTCATGACTGGACCCTGCCTGTATAACGCCTTCAAAGGAGCAGAAGAGTTCATCGTGCGGCCAGTCATACTACGCCAATTTGACACTGATCTGCTACATGATGTTCTAGCAGCCCACGTATCCAGCAAGCTTGATATGTCGTCAAACGATCATTGCAAATACAAACTAGTTGAACGCTTCATGGTGCCATACCACACACGTGATCATGAGTATTTCTATGATTTTACGGAATGGAAGCTTTCTCAGGCTCTCCTGATAGATCGACTTGATGAGGCTGTACAATATTTTGTCGAACGAATGGCTACGGACGCTCTACATGTACCTTCTGCTTCGGGCAGCGACACACCCTCCCCTGTTTTGCCGCTGTCCAAGACAGAGAGAAGCCGGATAAGTCGCAGTCTGTATCGGTTTCATACATATTGCACCCTGCAGACAGGATGGTCTTTTGTAATCGCGTGGTCGAGATTTTTTGCACCGTGGGAGAATGAGCAACTATACTGCATCTATCAATATTTAATGGATGTAGTTACACGCGGTATGTTAATATTTCCAGCTTCCTAATCATTAGGCTCTCACCAGAACTGACCCGAAGGAAAATTAGTTCTGGAGGACCCTAACCTTCTCTCGAATTGGCCACAGCATGTCCATGAGGGTAAGGCCTTTATAAATCATATCCAGTTTCACGTATCTTTGGGTCTTCCCCATGTTCGGCGACTCGCTATTCACAATGAAAGACACCTGCAACAGGTTGTACGTGTAATAAGTGAAACATCCTCGGACGACATATGTCTCAACTTTCTCCAAAAGGACGAATACCTGGCTCCGCAGTCACAGTCCTGGGAGGGTCGACTGAAGTATTTCAATTCCGAGGACGAAGTGCGTCATATCCCTCGGCCATGGTACCACGATCCGGACAGCGGGCCAGAAGATATCTGGCGCTGGGCCTACCAAGAAGAAGAAGTAAGAGGCTTTGTTGGTTCCGGGCAGCAAGGACCGCTGCAGCAGTGGGTGTATGTAATGTGGGATCGATGGCGGATCGACGAGTGGTGTGTTTTAGTCAAACCATGGCTGACATCTTCTCGAAGATGGGAGTTGTATATGATGAGACAGCTCGAGGAGCAGCCTAGGGCTATAGACCTCTCGCCTCAAATGAGAGAGCGGCTCCTTGTTCGCCGACGCAGACTCGGCCTGGAACCCAATTTGGACCACTGGAAGGACGGGTTCTTGGAACTATCATTTTGATATTTTGAAGACAGCGACGCTGGATTATTAGCCGACACTCTTGCTTCTTGTGCTCTCACTCCTCTGTATATAGACTCATATCCATACCTTCTTCTGTCGTAGTACTATGCTGCCATTATATGATCTTTCCATCTGAGTTTAGGGTTCGTTCTCTCATGGTCACGAAAGACAGTTGAACACCCAATCGTGCCTCATTTCCCTTCCATCTGTACTTGAAAATCCTGTTGCCCAATCATTAATGCTCTTACCGATGTTATTCCAATACCCACTAGACAAATGATACTAGCGACTTGGGCCCTATGCCAGCATAATCACGAAGTCCAATCAATATGTAGCATATCACACCAATGCTGAACAACTAATATGACAATACCATCATACACCCACAAACTCAACCCTAATAAGGCCATACCTTTTCATGCAGTTCCCGTTGTTGATCGCCCTCGGCTAGATTGATAAACTCGCTCTTAAAGTACTCACTCACCATCTTGGCATGCTCATACTCCTCCGGTCGAACCATCCCTCCGATCGGAATAAGTCCTTCTTCTTCTAACTGCTGAACGATGTTTGAAAGCCCCCCAATTAGTTCCCTTTCGCGTTCATGTTCAGCTAGCTCATCGACATTAAAGTCGAGCGGGCATGGTGTGTCGTCTTGCCGGAGTTGGTCCCAGTATGCGGCAACCTTGATCAAAGACTCACGCAGTGAGAAAGTATCTTCGCGTTCCCAGCATCCAGATATCAGACTGATGGGGGTGACTCGTGTCGATAGGTATGGGTCGTTGAATGCCTCAGCTCGGGATCGATTTACTTTTTCTGTTACCTTGTAGTAGTATTCGAGTAGCTCCTTTTCCCTGCTTCTTTGTTCTTCGCTGCCTGGGCTAAGTGAGAGTTCCAGCATTTGCGGGTGAGGATGTTGTAAAAATGATGGCGTTATGGCTGCGAGTTGCCAGTCTATGATGGAAGTGATCTGGTGTGTTTCAGGGTCGATGAAATATATTGTCGAGGTGGAGGTCTGGATATGATAGCGTATTAATGTAGTCATATTCACAGCAGGCCTGCTTTGGTACTAGGTTTCGGGCAATGTTCAAGATATCTCTGGAGAAGAGCCAAGTACTCGTTCAGGTTCTCTGGAGTCTCTGTTGACCGGTAGTAATTCATTCTTGGCTTTGCATGGTGTCTTGCCCAGTTCAGTTCGTTAGTTCCAAGGGCAGTCACGTAATGAATGGGGCTGGTCCCTGGACGGTTGTCAATAGAGCTGATATCGAAACAAAGGTCCTACCTCTTTGGAAGATGACTTTCAAACTTACATGGTCCTCTATCCAGTTTCCTCAAATTTCTTTCACTATTCCATAATTTTCGGTCATTAGATGGTCCAATTGCGAAACAGGACAGCTGTCTGCAAAGCTCTATCTTCAGCCCTGACGGTTTGCTAGGCGTGATATCAAGGCCTTCAGCCTCTGGAATGTTTGACTTGAGGTCGGACGTGTAGTAGAGGCACCCTTGCATGGGGAACAATACAGATGCCAGTTTCCCCTCTATTTCAACAACTTGGTCAATGATCACAAATTGTGAGGACCTACACATTCGGGCCCAAATACTCCCAAGCGAATATCCTGTGGTAATATATTCAACTCCGACTGGGTTCAACCTGTCTGTAGACCAGGCATAGATGCGCGGGACCGGAATGCCCAAGAACTCGCGGACCTGGCATCTGTCAGCATCTTCAACAACGCATGAATAAGTTACATACAAAATGCCGACTTGCCACTTCCGAGGCAGTAGTAAAGAAAGCAGGGCCGACGTTAGGGTTGGGCAACCTAGCAACAATTTGTTCACCATTATCCATCGTTAATACGAAGCCTTTGTTGTACTGTCCTTTCACACATTTTGACACCTTCACGCCTGTTTGGCATAGTTAGCTGAACAGAATACCGCTTTCCAGAAGCTAGGGTGTTCCATCGCACCCCCTTGTAGCCAGTTAGTTGATTGGCTGCCACGAGGAGGTTATCGAGGTTGAATTCACAGTACCGTGCAGCCAGATGTTGGGGATCTCTCCTTCTAGTACTGATATGAGATTAATTGAACAAGCTCGAAATTTTCAGGTACATACAGCCATCTATACCGTTAGTATTTGAATACCTCATCTTTATTCATGTGTACTTATATTCTCTATTAGCTGTATGCGCACTATTAAGGCAAAGAGAGGTTACCTGAGCCATCTTCCAGGAGCCTGACTAGCACTGGCTTGGTTCCAGAGCATATGGCTGTGTAGGTAGTAAAATAGTGTCTAACAACGCGTGGCACAGTCCTACTGATAAAGAGAGAGAGTGATAGCCGTGAGCGCTGCATGTTTACATCTTGCACCGTTGATCGAATGTCTTATCCCTGGATAATGTCGGCCTTTAGATACTGTTTTGGGTTGCCGGCACGTGGTACTAAGACTGGATAACTACGGCGGGCATTTAAAGTTTTTGCCCGATGGCCGCTATTGCCCGCCGTAGTAAAGCTCTGTCACGTGAAATGCTTGACTCTCATCTTAGGCATCAGCCAAGCTCACTTTTATCACCTCTTTCACTTTATCCTACAACTCAACTCATTTATCGAAAATTTTAGTCTTTCTAGAATTCCTTAGGGAGGTAGTAACCTCGCAGTGATTTCCTACAGTTTCAGGCACACAGACACTCAGTTTAGCTTCTCACGAGGATGGTTTACAGCGGGAAGCCAAGTCTAGCCTGCGAACGCTGTCGCCCGCGGCGCCTAAAGGTACCGGCGTGTCTCTAATTTGTGGTTTATTCTACTTTACCCTCTCTGTGATTAGCAGTCATATACATTGGTAGACGCGGAGAGGGCGGAGTGATTGATTTCAAATGTTGAAATAAGCTAAACAAAAACTGCAATCCAATAGTGCGATTGGGGGAAACCAGCATGTTCCCAGTGCATTCGGGCCAAAGTTGACTGTCCCGGGTACCGATCTGCTTTGGAGTATACCTTTCGTGACCAGAGTCGTGATGTTATTCGCAAGGCACAACTCAAAGCCGAAAAGGAATCCAAAGAAATTCGCAAGCGACAAAAGCGGACCGTCAAGGGTGACAGCAACCATATGCTGACTTACTCGCCTTCACCTTCCTCAAGCCTATCGCATCCAACCGCAGAACTGGCGAAGGGATATCTCTTTGTTAATTACATTGCCAAGAGTGATCGAGGGGCGTATATGCCGTACCTTTCGACTTTGACAAACCACCTAGAGAGCTCCGCTGTGAATGATGCTCTTACAGCTGCTGGTCTGGCGGCCTTATCCAACATCTATAGGTCTCCCCAGATGATGTATACAGCCCGTAAACATTATATGACCGCGTTGTCGCAAACTGGTAACTCCCTCGGTAACGCGCAGTTGTGTACGAGGGATGAAACTTTAGCAACAGTGGTGCTATTGAGCATGTTTGAAGTGAGAGATTCACCTGAGTAGCAATTTGGCTTATATTAACGAGATTTGTCCCAGGTATTAACATGCGGCGATGACCTCTTTATGACAAGATGGATCAATCACTTAGATGGCGCGGCAATTCTGATTGAGACCAGGGGTCGAGAGCAATTATCTCGACCGGAAGGATTGGCGCTATTCAGTCAGTTACGAACCCAGATAGTGAGTTAACCTAGTCGGATCCTCAGCTATATCTCTTTCGGTGGGACAAATATAAACTCCATTCGGGGGAGATACTAATCAGAGGCTACCCAGGTGCTCAGTCATGTGTATCGGCAAAAGCATACATCGGCAGTGATTCGTAATCTCAGTCAAGAAGCAGCAAAATACCAACCGAATAAAGATGATGCAATCATCGATCGACTCAGTGGCGTGACCATTCCTCTCGGGGATCTCTGTGCAGACATCAAGGAGGGTACAATAAGCTGCCCTTCGAAGATAGTGCGTTGTGCCTTAGAATTAGACGCACAGCTCCAATCGATAATGTCCGATATACCTGCTTCAATGGGCTACAGGACTGTCAACGCTGCCCTAGCTCACAGAGTGCCTATGGATAACACTTTTTGGGGAGCCCAATATCACATTTACCGAGATATTACCGTGAGTAGCTTCTGGAACAACTATCGGTCTGCCAGGCTGGTACTCCTGGACTTGATTGTTGAAGCGATCAGAGCCATGAACACTCCCTCGCTCGGTATCACAAAAGAAACACATTATCATCTATTGCGACAATGCCAGGAAATATCCCGTCAATTAGTTGAGGATATTTGCGCAAGTGTGCCATTTCATCTCGGATCGGTTGTGGATGACAGCCTTGTCGACAAAACCCCCAGTCACCCAAGCTTTCAGAGCTCGTCTGACACAGATAAGCATGGTGCATCTAAGTCGCCTCACTTGTCCTCTGGGTCTCCATTAGTGGTTCCAGCGGCCGGGGGGTTCGCCTTAATGTGGCCTTTGTTGATTGCTGCGGATTCTGGTTATGCGTCCAAGGAACTTCGAGCTTGGATCACAGATTGTCTAAGCAGAATTGGCCGTTCTATGGGAATCAACCAGGCATTCGCAATGGCAAAACTGGTACGAGAGGGCGAGAGTACGCGGACTTGGCTATCTCCGGAGTATTCTTTACCGGAACAAGACGGCCGGGAGGGGGCAGTGTTGAACGAAGCCGGAACTCTACAGACAGATGACTACGCCTTCCGCTTCTCTACACTGATTTAGTATTATTCAGGCATGAAAAAGGTTTTCGACTCTTCGACTTCTCAAACAACAAATGCGTTCGAATGGAAATATGGCAAAAAATCAACATTATCAAACTCTCAACTTCCAGACTTTTGTTTGCCTGATTTCTCGCCACATGGTAGACGCGACCACCGGAAGCTGTTGTATTCGGCTAAACTGGCTCGTACCCGCCAAGGTTATGAGCATTGTGAGGATCAAGAGGCGAAGTATGGAACTGCATATTCCCGGATTGATATGACTCTTTCTGAGAACTTGAACCTGTCGTGTTCGCTGCGACTTCTGAACGAGGAGTAAATACTCCCAGCACGGTGTACATCAGAACCACAAGGAATTCCTCGATGGTGGCCATGCAAAGCCGGATAGTCACATTTCCATCGACCAAGGAAAATTGACGGTAATGGCTGAAATCGGTGATCAGACTGTACAGCAGACGACAAGCCATCAATGGCAACGCTAACAGGACCACGCCGACGATACGCTTTTGGCTTGGTGCCATTCGAGGGAGGTCCCTGACTGTTGTCGACCACAGGATGCAAAGCACGATGTATATTGCGAGGAACAGAATGATTCCAGCTTTGGTTTCGTTTTGTCCTTCAGAATGTTCGGATGTGTTCGACGAGTATTGATTTATTCCGCCGATGATCGAAAGAATCAACGCAATAAGGGCCGGGATATGGAGTAACTGAACGACTTTGCTGCGACCAGAGATAGCGGTTGCTTTCTTGTTATAGATTTGCAGACTGAATTCAACTGTGTCAGCGTCAAAACTTCCCCGGATTAAGTATTGGTTCTTACATCTTCGTTGCGACAATGCTGAAGGAACTCAATCTCTGCAGTAGTGAAGTGGCTTGGGAGCCTTGGGCTGATGGCCCATGGACGCAAATTTCATCGAAACTGTCAATTGTGAGTTTCTTGATGGGGTCAAATCAACAAGGTTGTTTAGGAGATAACATACACTCTCTTCAATAAGCCAAGACTAGACAGCAGCAGTGGAGAGAGCCCCACTGACTGCAATATGATAGCCCACTCCACATCAGAGGTGTTGTCTGGATGCAAATCACTGAGGATCTCCATCACAGCACCTGCGATTCTGATTCCGCTGAATATGAAGAGGTAGATCCACCCGAGCTGTCTGTGAAAGCCATGGCGGAGGACGACGAGGAGAGTAACCAAGGATATGGGTATATAGACGATTAACTCGGCAATCGCAACACCTTTTTCTGTGACGACAGTCATTTTTGGTATGATCCGACTAGGACGCGGACAGAATGACACGATAATTTTCTCTTTTTTTATCTTCCGAGTGACTTGAATGAATCAAATCTTGTATCATCATAGCTCCGAGCTACAGCACGGCCGGATGCGACCTTTATAGACAAGCCATTCTAAGAAAGTTTACCATGAAGACTTCTCTTTCATGAAAGACTTTGAAGTTTCGTATGCCCGTACGAAACACATTACCGCTTTTGGCAAGTATCCTCGTTCGGTGGCTGAGACGTGGCCCCACAAGAACAAGGCAGCAGCATCGGACCGGAGCATTTTACGTTTGATACGTTAAAACTCCGCTCTCGTCTAATGCCAAGCTACGTACCAAATTGCTTGTCTGAGCGCGACCCTTTTGTCTAATATTCTGGGCGATGCCTAATTGACGTGGGGCTGAGTTCACGTTGCAAGGCTTCGTTTTCTTTGACTTTCTGAGCTGCCGGCTACCCCGCGTTACCGCATCGGGAAATTCTAGTCGTGCCTACGAATCACTTTCCAGATTAGGACTAGCTTCATCTGTATATTGATCGACTTTCTAACTGACGGACATGGAAGTATGACTGCATCGGGATACAGTTACGTGCAACACATTTATTCTATTACATGCACTGCCAGAGAGTCATGGTTCGGGCACAGAGGCCCAGAGAGGCGCAGCACAGCGCTTTCAATGCGTCTGATGTCAGTACTTGTCCGAGTTGAAGTTATATAAGATCAACGAGTTGGGCAGAGACCATGATATAAATATCACTGCTCATCTCAAGCATTCAATTGTATTCTACACTTCCCATCTGAAGCATTCATCTCTTGTTCATAAGCTCAGCTGAGAATACCCAGAAGACCCGATAGCTTCAACTTCACATCAAGATGCTATTTCACAATATCCTCTCCCTAGCCTCCTTCATAGGGCTATCTCTAGCCCTCCCTAAAGCCAGATCCTCCAATCTCGACTCCAACCCCGTCCCCGGCGAATCTCCCCTCTTCGCAACATACACCGGCAAGCCCACGCCCATCCCAGCCAACTACACCCGAGTCATCCCAGCAACAGCCTCCGGCCCCGCCGGTCCCGACGACCTCCTATTTCAAAACCTCCTCAGCGCCGAATGGATTATCTACTCCTTCTACCAACAAGGCGTGGAAGCCTTCAGCCCCTCCTCCTTCAGCGACCTCGGCTACCCAAACAGCACGTACGACCGCATCGCCGAAATCCGTGACAACGAAGCCGGCCACATCCGCATCTTCCAAGATGAAATCTCCTCTACATCCCTGAAACCAGGCCCCTGCAACTACAGCTTCGGCTTCGACAACGACCCGGAAACCTTCCTCGCCCTTCAGGTCTATATCGAAGTCAACAGCATGGCTTTCCTGACTGGCCTCGTCCGTGAATCCAACACAACTGATACCAGCTCCGCACTCGTTGCCGTTGCCGAGGTCGAGACCCGTCACAACGTCTGGTCCCTCATTGACATCTGGGATGTGAGTCCCTTCGCTGGACCTGCGGATACGGTGTACCCTTACGCGAACCAGATCCTGGCGTTGACGAATTCCTTCGTCGTGTCGGGGAGTTGTCCTTCTGAGAACCCGGAGTATCCGTACCCGAATCAGAATTTGCCGGAGATTGGTTTTGTGACGAATACTACTACTGGGCATCCCGGATCGAAGATTCAATTGGAGTTTAGTAATGATCCTGGGTTTACGGAGGGAGGGGATTACTATGCGGTGTTCTTTCATGGTGTGCTGAATATTAGTGTGCCATTTGATATCAAAACTAATGAGACGGTTGTTCCGGGGGAGTTTGATAAGGGGGCCGGTATTATTGCTCTGGCTGTTGCTGATGAGGCTGGGGCACCGACGGAGAACAGTGTGCTTGCTGGGCCGTTGTTGTTGTTGCAGCAGCCGGAGAAGTTGACTCTTTTGGAGCCTTGATTTAGTTGTGATGGATGAGATGGGGCGTTGGTATTGGCTTGAGGGGTGTGCGATGAAGTGATGGGTGTTGGGGATGAGTAAGATGCAGTCAGATTTATGACGATTATTAACGTGATGTCCGATTGCCTTGAGATATTATGCAACATGGATCCTGTAGGTATCCCGCCAGAGGCAGACTAGGCTGTAGCATTTCGTATTCTCATTCATCTACTGTCAACCATAATCATCATTGCTATATCCAGAATGAGCCCACCATACAGACCAGCCGACTACTACAACTGAAAGCCAAACTAGTGTAGATCATCTGTTACAGATCTACCATATCTCCACCCAAGCCCAGCCAAGCATCAATCTCCTCTAAACAATCTCCACCGTAGCAGTTTCACCCCCCTCAAAGATAGGACACGACCTGCTATACTTACCTGCTAGCAATCTATCCCACAGACCAACACCCCTTCTCTCAAAAGCGCCTGGCTTGTGCGTCGATGGCACTAATATGAGGAACCACGTTTCCGGGCCCAACCTCTGGTTCTGTTCAGACACCCAAGAAAATAACCGGAGGCAGTAATATGATTCGTCTAGATTGTGCACCTCCGGCTTATCGAGGGTCACACCTACCTTGTGTCCATCTGAGCACTGCACGAAGGTATCATGTCGGACTTCGTCTTCATAAATCACTTGCCCTTTCTGCATTTCTGGTAGTTTCTCGAGGCGTATCAGTTTTACTGGCGCAAATGCGCTCGTCAAAACAATAGAACCGTCTGTAACAGCACTCATAGGGTCCTCCAGTAGCTCATGTTGACAGTGAATTCGCTCGACGATGCACTTATCAACGGCCACGGGCTCATATTTCCATATCTCCAAAGGAAGGTCAAATCGATAGGTGACAGGTCTTCCCACAGATGCACGACCAGGTCGGAATATAGTATGCAGCTTCATTCGCATTCACGGTCCCGCTTTCCGGTATCTCCGCACCTTCATTAGGAGGCTCAACCTCCCACGACAGATCAAACGGAAGCTCTTTCTTCCAAAGACCAGCCAGATACTCAACCGCTGCTTCGGACCCTTGCCGCATATGATTCCCCACCATTTTCGCCAGGCCAGAAATAGCTCGTAACCGGTCATGCTTCTTAGTGAGTGACCTGTGGGAATAATCCGAGACAAGATCTCTCCATCTCTGGTATGGTGCTTGGTGACGCTCAAGCCATAACCGTGAGCCCAGCGAAGATCGATGCCACTCTGGATATCCTTGTCTCTCGGATTGGACTTTCGTCTTCAGGATTTCGGTTTTGATGGAAGCCCCGAGCTTGCCGTAATCGAGCGTCGTGTGTCGTGGTACTTGGGGTGCCACTGCGTGTCCGCATTCACAGAGCTGGCGACAGAGGCACTCCCAGATCATTTCGTTGCCATCGTAGCAGAGTCTGCGGTTCGGTAGGACGGATTCTTGTAGGCACCATCCTCTTGTGTCGAGAGATGATCGGTCTCGATATGATCTGGGGTAGAACTTTCCGGGGCGTATTAACAGATCCAAAGGAGGGGCGGTGTCGGGGCGGGTAGTGCAAAGGAGTTGTTGCCAGGTAGGATCACCGAAGCGCTGTTTGCCGAGGAAACCCATTTTGCATGAGTTGGGTTCCATGACTGAGATGGTAAGGTACGAGTTTAGATAGATATCGTGCATTACAGATGCGTCGTGTAACCAGGAAATACGATCATCTTGGACGATGCACAGAGAGTCGACCCATAAATTAGGTATCTCAAGGCTTCGACAGACAGTAATGGCATCTTGAAGGGTGAGTGGTAACGTGGAGAGTTCAATAGCTTGGTAATGCGACTCCAGGTTATGGGTCGTTGTAGTCAAGACTTGGTGGAGATCCTTTCCCCAGCAGTAGCTAAGGCATGCGTAGCGTACCGGCTCGACAGGTTCGAAGAGGAATGGCTCGTGTGTGCCATCCGACGAGCCGACATTGATAAGACGCCGCGGTTTGTAATCAGGGTTCGGGGGCTTACAAGCTTCGTCATGCTCGTCACAGTATGACAACCAGTGACGAGCTCGTTCAAAAGCTGCTGGTGAGCCTGAATCATGCGTCACTTCAAGAGATTGAGCGAGAAATTTCCCCGTATATTCGGGGCTCTTGCCGGCATGCCAATCGAAAAATTGCGCTTCGTAACGTGCAGTGGCAGCACGTTTGAGAAAATGGAAGGTTGTAGGTTGGTCCAAGAAAGCATCTTCCCTTCCTTCGGGCTGCTGCAGATGCAGGGTAAATTGAGGTACTATAGTAAACCAGTCGTCCTCTGATTTCGCCCGCTGGTAGTCAACTAGACCGAGATACGCGTTCTTTTTGACCCAACCAGGCTTGACAGCTTCAATGACTTGCAACACCAGATTACAGTCCAAACAGATAGACGCATTGATCAGGAAGATGGCAATGGGTGTATTCTCGATTCCAATGTAATCCGCCCTTTTCCGCAGAACCACGTGTGGACAAGTCTGGTTTGGGTCTGCATCTGGAATAGAGGTGGAAGAATATTCGGTATTGCAGCTTAACTTGGGGCTCCTAGGGTAGGATTAGGATTAGCAGTAGCACCTACTGAAAGATGATTGACGGTATCAGCGCCTGCTGCCCCGCTCCAACAGAAGGTTTTCTCATCACACCAGTCGGGCGTTAAGCGATGAACACGAGACAAGCCACCCTGCTCAGCCTCATTTTCTTGACCAAGGTCAACCTAGTCATCCGGGATGAGGTGGACGGTACAGGTATGGGATGCATCACGCCTTATCGCCATAGTAGCCTATCCCATAGAACTGACTTTGATTCTTAGAAGCATTTCTAGAGGAATGAAGTGCGCCGCCCAAGTGCAGCAGAAGCAAAGATAAAACTGATGCCCGACAGATGATGCCTGAGGAATGCTTATATCAGGTGATCTCGGTTATAGTGTTCTAACCCAGTTGGGATGATTTGTCCACATTCAGTTTCAGCCTTAACGGCTGAGGCTTTTCCGCAATATTCAATTCCACGAACCCGACATTAATGACACAGCGCTTATACCTAGCTGTGCAGCATAAAGTAGAACAACATGATTCAATACGAGCCCCAATGTAACCTCAGACTCTGGCTAAATCCTCCGTCCAATCGGATTCCCTACAATCAAACTTGGGATTCGCCGGACTCTCGGCAGCCCTAACCTCTACCAGTAAAGGTTAAACCTACCCCACTTGTGATTCGCATGGCCTGGACCCCTGAAATATAGTTCCTTTGCGTGCCTGAATATGGTGCTCGTTATTCGTCTTTCACGTCCTTCGGGCCTTGGCCTTGGGGCTGCCAAGCGGGCGGCGGAGAGTGCCCCGTGGTTCCCTGAGTTGGGCGTAAATGCGATTTCTATCATCACTTGATAAAAGCAAGACCCTGCGTCGATGAGAAACTTCAGTCAACATTCTGCTCTCAGATACCTGTCGAAAAGTAGATGTGTCTGGTCTTGCTGTTTCAAAATGCCGTCAGTTACATCGCACCTTGTCATCGCCCTGGCATTGTCAACCTCCAGCAATGCCCTATTGAGCCAGCGAGATGATTCAACCGCGGTTCCATCTCCTTTTGACAACCTTGAGGATGTTCACGTTTTCAAGCGAGACAGTTCTAAGACAGCAGAAGCTCCCCTAGTGATATATGTCTGTCAGCCCTCCACTTCTATCTATATGGCCAACCGAACAGCCCTAATGAGTAACAGGGCGACAGCTACTGGATGAACGCCTCGATCGGAACACCTCCGCAGTCACTAAGTTTCCTGCTTGATCTTACGCGCTCAAGGATCGAGCCCGCATACACCCTCGATGAGAACTACACTTGTTCTGACGATGAACTCTGCTCAGAATTCGGCTTCTACAAACCTACCGATTCATCCACTTATCAGCATCTCACCTACACACAGAGACACGATGCAGGCGTCGACTACACCTACTCCGATACCATAACGCTTGGAGACCACGCAGCTGACCAGGCCCCGTTGGACATGTACCTTTTGTCCTACATTTCCTGTCAGTTTCTCCATTCTTTCTCACCACTCACCATTAGCCCATCCATTAAGACTCAAGCAGACAGCTCCCTCGGCCTCTCATCCGTCAACACCAGCTTCCCCTACATCCTCGTTGACCGCGGCCTGACCACCTCACCCTCCTTCAGCCTAATCGGGGACAACGGCAACACCACCACCCCCAGCATTATCTTCGGAGGCATCAACACCTCCAAATTCAACGGGCCACTACAAGCCTTCTCCTTCGCTGATCACACCATTACCAACAACCCCTTCGTCACTCTCGAAGCCGACTCCCTCCAACTACTCACCAACACCAACGACAATTCAACCTACCCCATCCCCTCCTCCACCCCCATAATGCTCAGAACCGACGAACTAATCACCTACCTCCCCAACTCAACCGTCCAATCCCTTTACAACGACCTAAACATAACCACCGACGGCGTAATTTCCAGTTCAAGATTTTACGGCGTCCTTCCCTGCTCCCGCCAGGAAAGCGAATTCCATACTTTCTCCCTAGTTATTGGAAACATGACCTTCTCTGTGGGTTGGGATGAGCTCTTCGTCCCGTGGACACGTGACGGACTGTGCAAGTTCGGTATCCAGGCCCAGGAGTCGGATTACAAGACCCATGCGGAGCTGGGTGTTCCCTTTGTGAGAAGGATGTATGTCGCCGTGGATTATAATAATCAATTTGTTGGGGTGGCGACACTGAAGGATGATGATGATCAGGACGAGGGTGAAGATGAGGTAGTGGAAATTGGCACTGGAACGGCGTTGCCGAGTGCTGTCGGGGATTGGCCGGCCAGTGTTACGGCGTATACTCCTGCAGCTTCAACGGGAACGGCCGCTGCCACTTTGACATTTACAACGGCGACGTCGAGTGGTGGAGGTGTGGTGCCCACGGGTCTATCAGAGCTGGGGAGGGCGTTGTTGGTCCCGGGAGTGTTGGGGATGGCCGTTCTGCAGGCTGTCTAGACTTGGGATTGTGGTAAGATCATTCTGTATTTGAAGTATTTCTGTACATTGTTTTTCTACTTAGTAATTTGATATGTGTACACCATGTGGACCACTGTCAACTGCTTGCATGAAACGCTAGATTATTGATCCGTATACTATAGACCAGACAGAATATTTCTTCACTTTGCATGTACATATAGCCCCTATAGTTTTAGAATAATAAAAAGACATTAATATTATCATTTCATCGTCACATCGTCACATAACCGTGAGACAATACCGATATTGTTTATAATCACGTGAACATACAGTCCTCCAAACCACCTGACAAAGCGGTCAACAGTGCCAAAACCCCCTGACCGCCGGGATTCGATCGGGATTCCGGGGGATTCCCAACGTCCACAGTAGCTTCAAATGTAGACGATGTCCGCCCGGGGTTGGTTCTTGGCGCAGCCTTGAACATACGAATTGGACTAATCATTGGATTTCTTCTCCTGAGGGCGCGCTTACTTAGTTATTGTATCATGTTATCATCGGATTTACTCTCACATAGATATCAAGTCCGATTCAATTTGTGCAACCGTTGGCAAGACGGGAGGGACATAAGTACCCTGCTATGGGTACAGTCTGGCAGTAAGGTAAAAGCGATAACACCTTAGCATTGAAGTGAATAAAAGTTACCAAAATTAAGATGCTTCACCTCTCACCTCCATCCACAAGTTCCAGTCTGTCTGACGACAACTCCAACACTACAAGCAGCCGAAAGACCCGTAACAGCTGCGACGCTTGTGCCAAGTCCAAGTTGCGCTGTGGAAAGCAACATCCTCGATGTGAACGTTGTGTGATGAGGAATCAAGCTTGCACTTACGGACTTGCTCGACCAAAAGGACGGCCACGACTCTCTCATCGATCACCTAGCATTCCTCCTGTGGATCCACCCTGCTCGCCAGACCCTATTCTAGACCCGAACGTATTCTCTACGCTCTGCGATCCTGAATTGATATCAGACAGCTATCTCGACTGTCCCTCAGGGAATACAATCACATCTACGTCAACTCTCACTTCTCCTGGCGGTCAACATCTGGAGGACTGGCAGTTCTTGGACCACGAGCTTAACCTTCCATTTGACATCACTACACCTCAACCAATTTTCACGCTACGGCCTGCGCAGTCTGACTATCCGATGGACTCAACACTTGGTGTCACTTCACCCTCGCAACAACCCTTGTCCGCAACTCTTCCTGGCCCAAGTAACTCCTCCAGGGAACCTCCTTCCTGCACCAGCTTGATCCTGGACACACTCAGATCACTAATCCTTCCGCTTGAGTTTTGTAATCGACATCTGACTGCACCTCGATCGGCCAACCTTGACACAGCCTTAAAAATCAGCAATGACGCAGTTGACAACCTTACTGTGGTACTAGAGTGTGACTGCTCCGTGGATCCTTTTCTCTCCACGTTGGTGGCCGAAGTTATAATCAAGATCCTTGGTTGGTATGACCTGATCGTTGAAGACAGCAAGTACATTGGCTCAGATTCGACAAATCCACTTCTAATATTGGATTCAATCAAAATAGGGGGCTTTGAACCGAGAAAGGATGATTCTAGACGGATAGTGCTTCAAGTGGTGCTGAATGAATTGGACAGGGTACAAACGCTGGTGGGGAGTTTTGCTGACCGATACTGTCACCCCGATGAGCTCATATATGAGGAAGAAAATCCGGTTGGTCCCGCCTTAGAGGCAGCGTTGCGGGGAAGACTGAATACAATCAGAGGCCAGGCGATGCAGAGAATGGCTGGTTAGGGTGATTTTGGTTGCTTAGCAAGTGCATATGGGTTGTCATCCGTGCTACCCCGTACAATATTGTACTTAGGGGATAATGAACCAACGAGTCATAATAGGGCTTTGTAATCGTCGCAATCTTAGCAATCGTGCAATCTTTAATCTTGGCGCGTTCGGGCTTGCCGGTGGTGACCAATATATGTGCAGGTCATAGGCAGTGGAAGAACCTTAGTGTACATAACTTCAGTGACCGCAAATTCGAGCAGTAGCCCCTCTGTAGAGAATGCAATTTCTGTTTGGCCTGACTCATCCACTCTCATTTTGGTTCATGGTGTTCAGCATATCTGTTAACCAGTCATTATCCCCCATCAGTGGCAAAGCATCCGACGATATAGGCTGGGTATTGGGAAGAGTCTGATAAAGGATTGGTGGGACTGGATCGACCAGAGATGACCCTATAGGATCAGTATTTAGCCTCGTTTCCCACCCCACGCGGACAGCATGATATGTCTGAGCTATTGTAGAGAAGATATCCGCTTCAGGACCTCCATCCAGGCCATAAATGGTCGAGACTAGACTCATGTGACTGACGATGGTGTCCAAAATCTTCAAGATATCGGCCGTTCGTCGAACATTGGCCGTATCCCAAAGCGGACTCTCCAGAGTTGAGAGCTGGAAGAGAGTTGCCAGATTTTGGACCATTTGAGCAAATACGGCGAATGGGAAACCAATGTATTCCCCAGGCGGTATGCTCAAAAAGACGTCGAACCATGACTTTGTGGCGTCAAGACAACCGTACAGGTAGTCGAGGTGCTCGTACGTCACATTAACAGTTGATGAAATGGCACCGTTCGGGAGTGCAGACTCGTAGAGACTCAACGAAGTATTGTAATGATGCAAAAGAACGATTTCTAGCCAATATGAGTAATAGAAGCAGGATGTAGTGTATGTATTCTTGAACACTGACTATATCCCTTGGAGTGAGAGCCGTGTCTTCTCATAATCTCCTGGAGGCGTGACTGCAGCTGTGTCTGCATTGGGCGGAGATAAACGGAAGGCGACGGTCGCATCGACTCAACGCCTGATGAACCTCCATACCTGCTACCCAGATTTAGTCCGTCCGTGACTAATTGAAGTCGAACTTGCTGCACAAGAATACCATCATTGGCACACTCTTGCTGCTCTTCAAGAAGGCGAAGACAGTCCTCCAAGTGAGGTGTCCAACGCAAAGAGTCACTCTGCTGAAGGAAGGTCGCGATACTGAATGAGGTTAGTACATCATTTATTGTGGATTAGACGGGGTCATGGGGAGTCATTACGTCGATGTCAGTAGAAAGCACCCCAGAACAGCCCTGCGCTCCTCCATAACCTGGCGCCGGGGTGCTGTACGGTTTTCGTGTGGCTCTGGATGAACGCACAGCAGCATGTGCTTCCCCTTCGCCTCTGGATTGAAGAGACCCATTTCGTATACAATCCCCGTCGCCAACTGTGCAAATACATAGATATTGGCTTTGTTGTAGACTTGCTGATTGGACCTTGACACCGCATGTCAGCCGACAGGCAGTGCCCGTGATGACTGACTACATACCATCCAAGATATAACAAGAGCCCTTGTAGCATATCAAGTTCACGGCATGAATATTCATGCACCAATCTCTGCGCTACCGTGTGTTTGATGTGATCAAAGAGAGTGCGACGTTGTGCGCTGCTTTTGGACGCGATAGCCATGATACAAAGCCAGGTAAATGGTTTATCACGACGAAGTTTCTCTGCAGTAGTGCCTGATGGGACATACAGGCAGGGAAAGTACGGTAGCATCTTAGTGAGGAATATAGTAAAATATTCCTCTGCCTGGATGCCTGTCGGCTCCATGACATGCTCGGCCGATGCGCCGGTGGATAACGAGCCTCCGCCGTCCGACAGGCTAGCTTCTGGCGTCGACTCTGTGTCATTTGTACGACGAGTATCAATTGAGTTGAGCCCCGAGCTGCTCATGGAGATGTCAGATCGGCCTGGTGGCGACGCGGCATTACTGCTGGCGGACTTCTGGTTTTCGGGTAATTGCGCCAGCTCTCTGAGTAAAGTTGTAGAAGCATTTCCGGGGTGTACGCCAGCTCGGAGCAGCGCAACCAGATCCTCTATCTTATTCTCCAGCCGGTTCGTCTTCGATATATTCTTAGATACGGCTGATCTTCGTTTGGTCGAGCGACGGGTAGTAGCAGGCTGGCGGCATTCCTTGTCCAGGCGTTGGCATCTATGAATTTGGTTATGGTGGCAACTAAACAGGTAAGCAACATACGCACCTCTGACATTTCTCGCTGGCTTTGGAGTAGATGCACTTGCACTTGGCCTGTGAGCAGTCTACGCAGGAGCGACCGTAGGGAGCGGCATAGGTGTCGTGCTGCGGGGAATTGTCCCTGGTGTCGCTCGACTCCGCAGCTGTACTGCGGTCAGTCGGGGCCATTGACCGGCTGCAACGCGCTCCACAAAGCGTTGCTTCTCACTGCGCAAGAGAGTCAGCAATCACGTAGGGTAACAAATCAAGGCAATGGGAGACATTAGGAAAGACAGTGAGATTCAATAAGTGAGAGAGTGAGAAAGCGCAAAGGAGGGCGGCGTGCCCAGGCGCTAGTGGATGACGCTAGCGCCTTGAATATCAGGCATCTATTTTCAATGTGAGACAGATAAGCGGGCTTCGAAGTAGTCCAAGGCTTCGAAGTAGTGGCTAGTCAGTCCTGTATTGTGAGGCTGAGTTCTTAGAAAGGAAGAAAAGGCGTCTATCATTCGTCATTATTATTAGGATGTATCGCATAAAAGCACCATTCAGCATAGGCCACAGATCTGCTACAGTTAAGTTTCAGATCCATAAAAGAATAGAAAAGCTCATAAAGACAGGTTCTATTCATTATACCATATACTCTATGTCTAGCGGCACCTCACACTGGGTGCTGGTCATCTGTAACACCATCGCGCCAGTAGCTTAAGCCTTGTTCTGGACGTGTTTGCTCATGGCCCGAATCCGGAAGCCATAGCGGTAGAGTAAGAATGGCACAGGAGCCATGATGGTAGCCAAGATACCCACCATGGTGAGCACCCAGTGTGGAGTCATATGTTGGTACATCGGCACGGATGCGGGTAGTAACGCGCCCGAGATAACGTATCGGCTGAACGAAACGAAGGCGAGGGCGGAACCGGCATAGGTTGTGTACACGAAACAGATGTAGAGGTACGTCGCAGTGAAGATGGTGACAAGAGAGTAGCCGAAAACGAACGTGCTAAGAATTGGTGACCAGATGCTGACACCGGGCTGTGTTCCGCTGTCAGTAATGTTGGGGTTTCGCAGAACGAGCCAGTGACGACTTACATAGCAGGTCCATCCCATCCAGAACAGGGAGATTGGCATCAGAATCGAGCCCCCAACCATTGCCCAATAAAGCGATACCTCCGCCTGTAGGGATTTTCCTTCGGCTGCAGCCTTAGCCGCCGCCTGCTTGGTCCAACGATAGAGGATCGGTATAAGCACGAGGGCAACGGCGTCTCCCGCAAGCATGGACACGAAGATGACGTATGTGAGGGAGGTGGAGATTCCGTAAGTGTCGGAGAAGATGAAGGGGAACCCGTTCAGAAAGGTGAACAATACAATGTATAAGAGGACCAGGTAGAAGGAGAAAACCAGGATGATTGGCTCCGTGTAAGTCATCTGAAATGGACGGTAGACATTGACAAGAAGACGACGACCGAGAGAGCTGGCAGATGCATACTCATCGACCTGGTAGCGACAATCTCCTGTCTCATCTCGAAGATGTTTGGCTCTCCATTGCAGTAGCAACGGGCCGTAGGTTTCTGGCTGGAATATGGCCACGAATATGAGGACTGCTCCGGCGATGATGAGTGAGATCCAGTCAACCCAGATGAATGCGGATTTTGGAATATAAGCTCCAATTATAGGGCCAAGGATAGGCCCAGAGTACGACGCCAAAGTTACAAATGGTAGGCTAAACGTGAGCTCGAGAGGGCTCCAAAGATCACCCACCGTGCCACCCGCAACGGTCATCGGGGCGGCACCAAAGAAACCGGTTAGAAAGCGAAAGGCAATAGCAGCTCCGTAATTAGGAGCCAGTGCCTTTCCCATGACGAACAGCATGAAAAGGGCCAGATTGGTGAAGTAGACAAAATTTCGGCCAAAGGTTTCCGAAATAGGACCGACAAACAGCGAGCCAAAGCCCACACCTAGTAGATACATACCTGTTCGGGAACACAATCAGCCTGGCATTTTTAGACGTTCGTAAGGTCGGCTTACCGGTGTTCATGGACCCCGCAATTGCGCCCACGCCATAGTGTTCATTAAAGGCATCAGAAACTGGGGCGTCTATGGTACCGGGTATGGTGATGGCCAAGGCGATTAGACAGGTTGCTACCGTGCAAAACCATTTCTTGGGGCGGCTCCAGTTTTGAGGACTGTTAAGATCACCTTCTTTCCAGCCAACCAAAAAGGTAACAGAGCCATCTTGCTCGTCTGGACGGGAGATTTGCACACCAGGGAGAAGAGCAGATGCCTTCTCTTCGGGGGTCGATATGCCCGAGGAGCTGTCGGAATAAGAGTGAATCCTGGCAATGTCTGCCCTCACGGCGTCTCGGAGACTGTTATACTGACGCAAAGTTGCCATAGTGCTCCACGAGTGCTTGGAATCCAGGTTGCAGCAAGGCAGAAGATGGGATGAATTCGCTTGAGCCAAACATGATGGTGGGCAGTGGTCGCAAGGTAATAAATACCTACGGCCATATTCTGTACATCACGCATGGTAAGTGGAGTGCAGAAAAGTCTCCGATACATACAGATTGTTCATGATGGTGATGATGGTGATGATTAAGAGAGCAATGCTCACTCAACTCGGGCTTATACAAGTCACGGTGAAGCTCAATCTGATCCACGGGTAGAATCACCCCGAGTGGATCGGCGGTTCGGCCACATTCCATGGCTCTGATTGGCCAGCAGCGACATTAATCATCTTGCCTTAGGCTGACACGGATGAATGGCCCGCCGATTCTGTCCGACGAAGTGGACTTAATATGAGCTGAATGATCTCGACAGTGAATTGCCCGGTTTGACTTTAGTTTCATACAAATTCTCATTCCTAGTTATAAACATCCACCTAGCCATTAT